AAAAAAATTCTTAAACAGGCATTGAAATGTTCAGATAAATTTGCCTTAACAAATTTTGTACAACTGGGTGACTCATTAAAACAAAGAAAAAAAAAAGAGAAGTAAATAATTGTTGCCGAAATGAGGCTACTGGTTTTGGTTCCAGTAATTTTCTTATAGCAGTGATTTTTCTGAATTCTATGCACAAAAAATTTTCAAACAGGGTTTTTTTGGAAAATAAAGAAACTGTAGTACAACTGAGGAGCAAATCAATTGTTAAATACCAAAGCAAAAAGTAAGCTGATAAGAATGTTGGCTGAAATTTAAAATGAAATTTTTCTTTGACGTTAGTGTTTCATGAAAACTTTAGCAAACTTTCAATTACATAGGTAAAGATCACTTGGCTTTTGCTGTACCGACAGCAGATAGTAAACTGGAATAAATCTGAGTAGAAAAACAGATAAATATTGAAATAATGAAACAGTTTTAATCAGTACTTGACATTTCATCAGTTTATTTCTGCCAAAACATTTTTTTTGTCAAAATTCATGCAGAAATTGCTGGCATCTGATCTTTCAGGATGAAGCATATATGTTGTGTGAAGAATATGTGGAATGTGAAACCGTTGCAAAATTGCAAGAGCGACTATGTGTCGGAAATAGCATGAATCCTTACTGGCTACCGACATCAAATGCACCGCATAACAAATGTTATGAAAAACTTAAAAACGATTATATTCATGTAACTTTTTGTTTCCCACCATTGTTTCAACATAATTAACCATTTTTCTCATTTACAATTTTTATGGCATTACATTAGAGCTAATAGCCTCAATTAGATAATAGTGAAAAATTTTCTTAGCCTGTCATTTTATTGAGGAGGACTTGCTGTACCGGAAAAGTTTTTCAGTTAGAGAGGCTGGAAAGGGAATTGCAAAACAGCAAACTTCGATGCGTCAACGACACTATGAATGCAAATTCATCGTATAGAACAGCTATCGGACAGGTAAAGCCAGTTTTAGAAGAGAGAAAGAACTTTTCTGTTGATTTATTCATTTTCAGCACAAACTTAAAGTTTTTCTTGATTAAACAACGCATCCAGCAAAGTTAGCCTTATAAGGCTTTTTTAAAACTTGAAATGTTACGAATGGTGATAATTTAGTGGCAGTTTAGTTGCCAGTAAGTGCATACAATTTTAACTTTCAAACAGTTTTACCTCGATAACTGGCATGCTGTAGGTGTCAGTTCAATTTACTGTTAATAAGTACAAAAATTCTTACTGAACAATAAATTTTCATCTGACAGTATTTAAAAAGGTGTTTATCTGCATAAGGCATAAGTTTCTACGTTCAAAAAGCGTGAATCGCGCGCAACAGAGCGATCAAAGACTATCTGAAGAGATCGCAACGTTGTGCTAAGAAAAAGTGATCAGAATTATCATATGCAGTAGCTAATTCCTCTCGCACATATACATTTCGATTAGTAATTACTTTAATATATTAGCTGCCGTCGTACCTTTGCTTCACAGCTATCTTCAACAAGTACCGCAAACTATATTCATATTACAAGCATCCTAGTGCCCTTCTTTTATCACCTAGTCCTCTGATAACAGAAGTTGATTTTTCAAAGGAAATATAGAGTACTTTAATTGATGTAAGTCGAAAACATAGTGTCTTGGAGTTTTGAAGGACGCCAGATGTACAACGTCGTTGGTCGGGACATCAAAAAAGTTTAAAAATGCTGATGGGACCATAATTGTTAATCGGTGTTTCCAAGGCAATCGCATTAGAAAACAATGTGGCACCCTGCGAGACTGTTGCCTACCAATAAAAAAGTAAATGCTTTTTTTCAAAGTTTAATCTTTTTGTTCTCAATCAACTGTTTATAAAATCTCTTTATGCACACCTAAACAATAGATCTACTGGTGCCTCAAAAACAAAGAAATGAAAAGATCATAATTGACAGTTATGACTCTTTTCATTAGACCTTAAATATTAATAAAAGCTGACCTTAAGACTGTTGGCTATTTGGCTGACAACAATTGAAACAAACATCAGTTCTTTCGGATAACCTAAAACTGTGAAGAAATTCACCAAAAAGAGTTGCCACTAACTATAAAATACTGAAAATATGCATTCAATATTTTGACAAATCATCAATAATTATTATTCTAAAAATTAGGCTACGAGTTATTAGAAAGCACTTTTGAATGTTTCGAAATGACTTATTCAACTGTATTTTGCAGAAAACAACAACAACAAAAAAGAATAGAAACATTAATAAAAAATCCATTATTATTTATATAATGGTCAATTTATGAACAAAATATTGAGTGAAACTTATCATTCACAAGTTTCAGATGTGAACAAATGGCAGCCAAATCACTTATTGCAGAAGAAAAAATAGCAAGAATTAAGGCGATTCTAAAGAAAGCCCGCGATTGCCGAGTTAGTTAACTGCATAACAAGAAAAAAACTCATAAATTTGACATTTTAATCTCAAATGTTATGATTCTTTCACAAAGCTAAGAGTTACTTTTAGGTAGGATTAGAAGTCAGTGAACTGAAACTAGAGGATGGTTACTTTGTTGAGAAAGTTGATATTCCAACTACCAAATCCACTGGAGCTTTAAGAGGAACTGATAATAAACCTGCAGAGAGAGTGTCAGCTCTCGGAGAAGAAGTCGCATCGGACGTGCTGAATATGCCTCCAGATGAGTTTGTTTACCAAACCAAAGTCAAAAACAACGATGACTCTTATTTGGAAGGCGGAAATATAAAGACGGAAATAATTGAAGGAAGCGGCATGGACATCGAAACTCAGCGAC